TCGCTGTCCCTGCTGCAGGACACAGAGGAGAAGAGCAACCTTCGTTCCCAGGGCGGTCCAGCTCCTCAACTCCCAACCCCCCAACAGACACCAACACCTCTCACCCAATGCAGACTCTCAGCTGTGAACTTCCTTTATATTGACATGCACCTTAACTGCCTCTGCTTTATCTGCTCTCATGCACTACATCACTTTATTCTATCCCTTTTATATCAGTATTCATACAGTTCTTGATCATTTATTCCTGTTGTTTCTTATCCATCATTGCACTACGGTCACTTTATTTATCTCATTTTTACCTTACAGTTATATTGTTTATATCAGTTCTGTTGTTCCATTATTCACCTTAATAACTTTTTACATTTAGTATTTGTCTACTTGCACATAGCTCTGTTTATATATATCTATTTCTCGTTTACTGCACATAGTTCTGTTTACATCTGTTTACATCTGTTAGTCCGATCACTGTCCACTTATATCTACTCTTTTATAGTTTGTATTTTAATTTAAGTTTAAGCATTAAGTTGTATTTAAATTGACACTTTATATTTAGGTTAAAATGTTTTGTTTACTTGCACTGTTGTTAATTTACTGCTCTGTGTGCCTTTGAATTGCCCCCGGGACAAATAAAGTTTTTTGAATTTGAGTTTGAATTTGAATTTGAATAGGAGGGACTCAATCCATCTGAAGAGCACAGAGACATTGATCATCTGTGAAAGAGGAGACGCTCTCTGATCACCGCTCTGCACACCTCAGTGATGATTGAACTTTATGTTCTGCTTCTCTGGATGTGCAGACGCCACAGGTTGTCTCTCTCTCTTTGAGAAGCCACTCATTTATTGAAGATTAGCTCTGTGTGTGTGTGTGTGTGTGTGTGTGTGTGTGTGTGTGTGTGTGTGTGTGTGTGTGTGTGTGTGTGTGTGTGTGTGTGTGTGTGTGTGTGTGTGTGTATGTGTGTGTGAAAAGCTAAAAAGATGAATAAGCAGTCCACAGAGTCGAGGTGAGGGCTTCACAGAGTACTGTTTGATTGACAGGTTGGACCCGGGTCTGAGGTCAGTGACAGGTGCAGAAGGCGGGCCGGTGTTAATGAGCTTGGGCTGTTAAAGTGAAGAAGAATTCCCCTTCCAAAGCAATGTAACCAATGGGCAACAATTTATTAAATGTGAAAATGATCTTGAGCTCAGTAAAGGGAAAGGGCTTCAAAGGTCTGAGGTCAACAACTCATCACATCAAATGACACCCTGTAATTCACAAAACACACGCAAAGGGTTAAATGCACCGCTGACTGTGTGTGTTTGGATGACCTGTTGTGCAGTCAATAAAGGAAAAACTGTCCCATTCCTCAACAAATCAGCTTCATTGCAAAACAACAACCCAAACACCAGAGGGAATAGAAACGCACAGTTAGAGGTGAGCAAAGAAATACCAGATGGTGACGGCGCCGCAGTATTTAAAAAAACACGCAAACTTTCCGGTGATCAGGAAAACAAAAAACACTTTTAGAGAAAGAGGTTACAAAGGAGAGTTTAATCACCCTGTCCTTATTTTATTTTATTTTATTTACTTATTTATTTATTTATTTATTTAATTTTTTTTAATCTATTCTTTAGTATCTATCTATTTTTTTGTACATTCTTAATTTTTCTTTTTTCTTTAAATTGTACTGTGTTCACTTTTTGTCTGCAGTCTTTGCTCTTTGCTGCTGTTTGTGTAAATTTCCCCGTTGTGGGATAAATAAAGGATTATCTTATCTTTCAGTAATCCACGTCATAGTAGCTGCATCATCAGTAAGAACAAGAAAAAGGGCGTCCTCCAGTTCTACCAAGAGTTTTTTAAATGTAAGCTCAAGGTGTTCCTTCAGTCTGCTCCACTCCACCTGTGACACATCTTCAATAGCCAATCAGATACTTCCATTATTAAACTGCAGCCTCCCCCCGAGCAGCCCACGTCTGATTACAGAAAACACTCAATAACACCTCGTGTTTACTGTCACTGAGTCTGTTTCTCACACAGCTGCACAGACTACCTCACAAGCGCTCTGTAATGTGAACCATGCAGTCAGAACAGGTGGAGACACACACACACACACACACACACACACACACACACACACACACACACACACACACACACACACACACACACACACACACACACACACACACACACACAGGGAGACATAGCCGTTCCAGCTCAACAAAGATGTTTTATCTCTCGTCTCCTCCAATTACAAACAGAAACACAAAGAGGAAACACAGGAGACTCTGCAGAGCGGCTCAAGCTTCTCTCTGCTTCATGCTTTCCATGGGCGGTTCTAGGCAGGGGCCAACAGGGGCCAGTGCCCCTGTAACACTGAGCTTAGTCCCCCCTGTGGCCACCCCTCCAAAAGGAAGAGCCCCCCTCAAAACACATACACAGTGACTCAACAACCGGACTCACAATCTAGTATTAAATTCTGTTTCTGAAACAAATATAAATCATGGTATTTAATGATGCGTGCTATTATTTGGCATAATATATATATTTATTTTAAAGCGATCATCTTTGTCTATTTTTAGCCTGGGTTTAATGTTCCCCTCTGACAAAACAACTGGATCCCGTTTGGCCCCCTCAGTAAAAGTGGTCTAGAACCCCCACTGATGCTGTCACCCTCTCTGACTCTTGATCTCAGGACTCTCAGGAGCTCGTCAAAGTCACTTTCTCTGACTGAATCCATCCTGACATGAAGGCCGTGCGCTCGTTTCCTGCAGCACCTCTCTCTCTGCTGAAACAGAACCACACAACTCAACTTCCCCTCTTCAAACAAACGTTGGACATGTGCCAGTTATCTTGGTTAAAAAAAAAAAAAAAACCTGTCTCCCCCGAGGGTTCATTATTCTATTTTATGACTGGAATAAAAAAAACCCCGCTCTTTGATGCTCCGTCTCTGCACGTAACCTGCTCACTCGTTTCTCTTTCTGCTGACATGTGCAGCCTCCTCCGTCACATGTGAGTGACCCCCCCCCCCCCCCCCACCACCCCACCCCCCACCCGAGGAAACTGGTTACTGAGGCGGCCTGGTCATCCACATTAATATTCACACTCTATATACAGTTGACAGTACATTACAGACTACTGTGTGTGTGTGTGTGTGTGTGTGTGTGTGTGTGTGTGTGTGTGTGTGTGTGTGTGTGTGTGTGTGTATGGATTTTCGATTACAGCCACAGGATGAATCACAGAGCTTCTTTTTATGAAATCATCTCAGAGGATCAGCTCAATACATCGAACCAAACTGATTTCTAGAGATGCATAACATCGATTCTGTTCAGCAGATAATTATTACATATCACTGAAAACTCATTTTACATATTCAAAATATCTTCATGACCTGTGTGTTTGTGCACACCTCAGGGTGGGAAGAATCAAACCTCTTTCATATTTCTGAATTGAATCATCACTGTTAGGGCGAACTCACACGATGCAACCCGCACCGTGCCTAAAGACGCTTCACCCCTACAGTCCAGTTTAGTGTGAGTGAGTTCTCCAAACCATGATCATGCTCGGTACACTTCCTCGGCCCTGGCACGCTTTGAAGAGGTGTTTGGGACGGTACAGTTCATGCACGAGCACAAGCACGGGTACACAACGTGGACAGCCTTCATTCTGGAGATATCCCAGAGTGTTCTGTATCTGACTGACATCAGTCAGTAAAGTAGCTGAGTCATGTTCTCTGATGTGTGGACGTCCTGTCCTGTAAACTGAGCACGCTTCATAATAACATAAAGTCATGCATGTGTTGTATTAATACATTATGTACAAGAGGTAACCGTGCTCAGGCCCGGTTAGTCCTGGAGCGGTGTGAGCACAGGGGACATCTGGGCCAAGTGTGAGTGCGCCCTAACTCATCTTTACTTTTATGATCACTGGACATGCAGTTCCTCTGAGATGTGATGTCTTCTTATCAACACTGTGATTGTTTCCTATGAGTTAATAAATGAAGTGTTACACGCTTTAATGGACTCGTTTTACAGCCCAGTAAATCAAGTTATTATGTTGCACTGGATCAATGCAGGTCTGGGATTTGTTGCAAATCAAGTTTGCCTCATTTTGAAAGAACGAATGATTGTAACTTTTTCAGAGCAATAGTTTGTTATCCTCCTTTGGCTCCTCCTGCAGCCCCTCAGGGTTAACCCTCACTCTAACCCTCTCCCCTTTCTGTCTTATGGAACAAAACGTTAAGTTTCTTTAGTGAAGTCAATCATCTGACAAACAAACAGGCTGTCTGCTTGCTTCCTTTTTCTACATGATGTTAAGTTGTTATCTTTTATGGGGGGGGGGGGGGGGGGGTTGGACCCAAAGCTGCAGAGACCCTCCGTACACAGGGAACCAACATAACCGCTAGACCATCGGCACCCCACTCTGTCTAGCTTTGACTTATTAGTAACGGCGTAATATTTGGGCCTTAAACACCAAGAAAAAGACCAAACTGAGAACTTTAAGAGCACAAAAGATTAGTTGGCTAACCATCAAAAGTTGTGCAACAGATAAGCGTTAATCATTCCAGTTGATTACTGAGAACAAAGTTCGGCCTTCTGGTTCCAGATTGTGACCTGTTCCTCTCATCGTGTTTATCTTTATGTTTTAGTGTAGATATAGCCTATTTTAGTCTCCTTGTTTGATGGTCAGAAAAACGAGCATTTGAACGCATCACCGTTTAAAAGTTGATTTATTGAGAAAATAATTGACCGATTAATGAAGCAAATAGGAAATAGTTCTTAGTGGCAGCTCTCTTGAACAAGCCTATAAGTTTAATATTTATTTAATGACATTTTTGTTTAATGACCCTGCAATAAATCGTCTGTTTTTAGGCTTTGGCTGCAAATGCGGCAAGATGCACCGAAACTTACCTTCAAAGGTGTCCAGTCATCGATTAACCAATCACACCGTAATCGGTTGAGCCCATGTGTGCAGACAATTTGATATATTAAAAGAAACATCGCGCATTAAACAGGTAAACTCACCGGCTGCTCTTCTCTGCTCTCCAGCGGTGCTTCTGCAGATGCGGCAGATGTCACCGCGTCGCCTCCTTCGCTGCTGCGCTTCCACTGCCGCTGCTGCCGCCAGGAGCTCAGCCAGCCTCTCCAGACACGCAACCCCAGAGAGGAGCTCTTGTGATGGGACTGCACCAGATGAGCCACGGTGGATTTGAGCGGACTGCCGGATTTGTGAGCCTGCTGCTTCTCCCGGCCCGCACTGGAGCCGCTGGCCGCCGCTTTGCCGCAGAGCTGAGCCTCCTCCACCTGGGAGGAGAAGATAAGGTCCGGCTGTGAGGAGGAGATCACCCGGTCCAGGACGACGTTTTCCTTCCTCTTCATCTTCTTGAACATCCAGCTCGACCTCTCCTTCTTGTCCTCCGGGTCTCTGGAGCCCAGCTTGGGGCTGAGCAGCGGCTTCGCTTTGGCTTGGAACTGTTTCCACATCGTGCTGTGTTGTTGGGACGAGCCGCTCTCATTCTGCTCCTCCTCGCTCCTCTCCATTCCCGCCTCTGATCCGAGCTCGAACAGGCGACACACAGGCTGCTGATCTGCGGAATAAAGTTACGCAACCTGTATCGACACCATTCAGGGAATTACATGTGGAAACACAGGCGGAAACACGGACACAAACGGTGGGCTGCACCGCTGGCAGCAGCTGGGGTCGTCCAGCCCCCTTCAGCATGAAAATATTTACAACAGTAGGTGGAGAGAAAAAAAAGACAGCAGGGCCTGTCTCAGCGTTTTGGGGGCCCTGAAGGAAGACTTATATGCCCACCCAACACCCCCCCCCCCCCCCCCTTCCTTCATCCCAGGAAAGCAATGTTGCTCACGAGATGTCTTTATATTTGATTATTGTCCAACAATTGGATTGATAGTAAAGAATTAAAGACAAATCAAGTAGAAACCCTGAGGCTAAGAACTAAATCTTACACAGAAGTGCCAAAAACTGCAGTTCCTCCAGTGTCCACTAGAGTCTGTCTCCTGCAGTGAGTCAGTCCCCATAGAGCTCTATGTTAAAATGTCTAACTTTACAGCATTAAACACATAAAACAGACACGTCCAGATGAAAACAGTCGTTTTATTACATTATGAACTCATTATTATTTCTTGTTCTTGTTTGACTGTACAACACTCAGAAACACGGCTTCACAAAATAACTTATTATTACTCAGATTGATTATCGTTAAGGCTGATATGGATCCTACTCTGTGCAGGTGTGTGTGTGTGTGTGTGTGTGTGTGTGTGTGTGTGTGTGTCTGTCCATTACGAGGTCTGTGTGTGTGTGTGTTTTATCTGTACGATCTGTAACAGTTGAGATGGAGAAAAATATTCTTACATATCATGCACACCAATTCAAACACACTTTAAACACTGAACTAGCGTAGCATACGTAGCATACGTGTAGTAAACATGTAGCATACGTGTAGCATACGTGTAGTAAACATGTAGCATACGTAGCATACGTGTAGCATACGTAGCATACGTGTAGTAAACATGTAGCATACGTAGCATACGTAGCATACGTAGCACACGTGTAGTAAACATGTAGCATACGTAGCATACGTAGCATACGTAGCACACGTGTAGTAAACATGTAGCATACGTCGCATACGTGTAGCATACGTAGCATACGTAGCACACGTGTAGTAAACATGTAGCATACGTCGCATACGTGTAGCATACGTAGCATACGTAGCACACGTGTAGTAAACATGTAGCATACGTAGCATACGTGTAGTAAACATGTAGCATACGTAGCATACGTAGCATACGTAGCACACGTGTAGTAAACATGTAGCATACGTCGCATACGTGTAGCATACGTAGCATACGTGTAGTAAACATGTAGCATACGTAGCATACGTAGCATACGTAGCACACGTGTAGTAAACATGTAGCATACGTAGCATACGTAGCATACGTAGCATACGTAGGATTGTTTTCACGTGAACTCTTCCTGTGATGGCTTTAGTGATGTCTGTTCGCTGTGGGGTTTTCTTTCAGGTTATTCATGATTAAAGGTTTCATTTAAGGATGAGATTGTCAGTTATGTTTTTGCAGAAGAACATGCTGACTCACTGTCTCTCGTAAGACGTTAGCATGTGCACAAACATTCACTCAGCAGCACGCTAAAGAGGCTGATGGTTTGTAGCTCATGAAGTAGCTAACTGTTAGCTTCCACCAGATGCGAGTGTCACCTCCTAACAAGGTCATTGTTCTGGAGGAGTTCTAGAAGAGGGGACTTGCTTGAATTTGTCTTGTTGTTTGTTTTTAGATTTCAGTGCTTCTAGCGGGTCAGTTTCGGTGTCTGACTTCCTGTCCCGGTGTCTGACTTCCTGTCCCGGTGTCTGACTTCCTGTGTCTGACTTCTTGTCCGGTGTCTGACTTCCTGTCCCGGTGTCTGACTTCCTGTGTCTGACTTCCTGTCCCGGTGTCTGACTTCCTGTCCCGGTGTCTGACTTCCTGTGTCTGACTTCCTGTCCCGGTGTCTGACTTCCTGTCCCGGTGTCTGACTTCCTGTCCCGGTGTCTGACTTCCTGTCCCGCTCAATCTGCTCTGTGGTAAATCGATGCGCTGTGCTCCGGAATCCAGCAAAAACTAGAATCCTTGTGTATCTGCTGCAGACGAGTCCGGACCGACAAGCTGGGACGGACCGGACGGGCGATCTGGTGGAGTTCAGCAGCGAGTATGAGCGATCTGATTGGTTGTTTTTTTTAAATGTTGGTCTCAGTTCATGAAAGTCTTTAATGCACGGCTCATTAGCACGACTTTTAGCGACACGTGCTATGACCATTAGCATTGAGCAGCTGTACTCTGCTTTAGCGTCTTTAAAAGATCTCAAATCGAGCTTCAGTCTCTTAAGTGAACTCACTGAAACTCATCTGAACCGTCCACACACACACACACACACACACACACACACACACACACACACACACACACACACACACACACACACACACACGTCTTCAAGTGTTTGCAAACACAACTGAAACCAAAAGTTGCAAACCATCAGGGACATTTTCAGCTTGTGCATCCCTTTTTTTTGGGGGGGGGGGGGGTTGGTACATTGTCATGTCTGCTGCTCCACGTCTGTCCTGCATCAGATACATTTTTTATTTTAACCAGATGCTGCTTTATGTGTATCCTGCATGCTTTATGTATTTCCTCCTGTGGCTGCTTCATTACTGTCATGATATTTATATTTTTGTAACTTTTAGTGATGTTTGAATTTGGTTTTTTTTAGGGAGCCTTTTGTAAAATCTGTTCAGGGACAACAGATGAAAATTAGCCTTTTGGCTAACTCTGGCATATTTACCTAAATGTCTATTAATATGCAATGTCCCTGTAAAATAAAAAATAAAGAAAGAAAATAACAAAACTCCTCACACACACAGCAGGTGTCCACACGGTCAGTGCATCGTCTACTCAAAGGAACAGAGGCTAAGGTGCTTCAGTCTCACTCAGCATTTCAAGTCTGCTGTGGTTTAAAGGTAACAAAGTGCAAACTAATCTCTATTGCCTAACTACAACTCACCTGGCTAAAGACTGTATAAAAAACAAATGCAAAAAAAGAAACATTTAAATTAGGTGAGAATTCATCTTCCAGCATGCTGTCAGTCGATGATTATTACTATGTGAGTATTATTTTAAGATTCTGGTGACTAGTTCCTCCCCACGTCTCCTGGAGGGATGGATTTAAGCTTTGAGCCTGTGGTCGATCGTGTCTCCTGAATAAACGATCCCAGATGTAACGCCGTCCGAGGTCACAGGTCCTGCTCGTGCATCTGCTGCTGCATCTTCTGGAGCATCTGCTGCATCCTCCTCAGCTGCACAGAGAGAGATAATGACAGGAAACAAGAGAGGGGGATCAGAGACCGATTACATCATCTCACATATGGGGCCATCATTTGAAATCAGCGTCTTGGTTATGTAACACCTGCTGCCGTGCATTATTCACTGTTTGAGGTTTATTACAGTCTTATAAAAAAAAGTGTTTCCGCTCACTTCGTCATCCTTCAGTTTGATGAGTTTCTCCGTCTCCACGTCCGGTGTGGACAGAGGCAGGATGGGGATGGGACTCTCCACTCGCTTATCTGCGTTCATTTTACTGAGGGAGGAGAGAGAGAAACATGATGGATGACAGCGGCAGGTTGTTTCTCTCTGCAGGAGGAAAATCAGCTCAGACAGACTCAGAGAAACAAAAAAAACATTCTCAGCAGCAACGAATTTAAAGCCTCCACGTGCAGAGCCGTTTGTGATGATAACATCTCTCAAAGCACTCTGATACATTTGCATAATTTGGCAGATTATCAGTCCATTAAAAGCCAAAAAATCTCAGAGTGTTCTGTGTCATTTCTGATCCACCCACGGCGAGATGCCTAACACCTTGTTGTCTGTGGAGGCTGTCAGTCATCCAGGTCAAGTTGAAGCTCCATCCAAAGGCAGCTGGACTTTACTTCACCTCTCCTAAACTAAGCTAACTGGCTAAGGCTAAAGGATCAGGAGCCTGCTGGGAAAGTTCAGGGCTTGTGTCCTTTTCTATCCAGGGGTCGGGGGGGGTTCAGTGGAGGCAGAGGACTCTGGGGTTGGAGACCAAGGCACAGAAATAAACAAAACAAAACGTTGAATAAGAAAAAATGTGTGTGTCTGTAAAATTTTGTTTTGTGTTTTTTTATTTTAATTTTTTATATTTAACATTTTTAAATTCTATTTTATATTTGTAATATCTTCTTATTCTGTATTATTTAAGTTGTTGTTAGTTCTGCTTTATTTCCTTCTTAATTGTTTAGCACCAATACACCAAGTCAATTCCTTTATGTGTAAATGTACTTATAAATCCCAGATTCTGATTCTGATTCTGATTCTGATTCTGATTCTGATTCTGATGATGTATGTTGTTGTCATGGGTGTGTGCATGATGTTCTCAGGCAGCAGGCGTCGGGAGGAAACTAACGGGTTATGGAGGGCTGGGGGCTTTTGTTTGGAGTCTTTGTTTTGTCGCTTTTCAACCAGAAGGTCGAGGGTTCAATCCCCAGCTGAGCAACATGTCCGATGTGTCCTTGGGCAAGACACTTAACCCTGCATTGCTCCCTCTGCTTCAGTGGTGGTGTATGAATGGATTAGTGTTGTTCTTACTCTCTGATGTACGCTTTGGATAAAAGCATCTGCTGAGTGAATTGTAACATTGTTAGCATGCTAATGACCCACAGAGGATTACATTTCTGGCTCCTTCCACCAGTTTAGATCTGAAGAGATCAAACCCAAAAAGCTCCAATTATATCAAATTATATGTTTGTTCTCATCAGAACACCAGTAACAGTGACAAACCCGTTGGAGATATTATTGTGGCAAAACTATTTGAATATGCGTACACAGATCTGTGTAAACTAATCTGCAAATATGGAGACCAATATCAAAATATTTACTTATTTATTAATGTCAGTGAACTTTTTCAGCTGTAAATCCTGAAAATAAACACAAATGATCGCTTACCACTGAGGCGGGCCTCTCCATTGGCTGTCATGTTACATGTGACTTTTGCGACACTCCTGCAGTGCAAGATCCACAAATGCACACACACATATCTGCAAATGTGTGTGACGATCTGCAAACACATCAGTGGGGTTTGTTGCCCTGAGCTCAGGCTCACAGGCTGCATACAGCTTTGCCCGCACTGAACAGGAAACACATTTCAAAAACACAAACTACATAATGGACCCTCCATCGTAGCCTCCTCATTAAAACTGCACCCACGACATCCAGCTCAGTAATGAGCTCAGTGGATCTGTGTACACATATTCAAATAATTTTGCCACAATAATAGCTCCATAACAGAGGTGTCCAAACTTTTTTTCTTGAGGGCCAAAATAGTCGTGTTAGAATCGCTCACGGGCCACAGGTTTTGTTTTTTAGAATATAGTTTTTAAGATAGTAAGGCTTTGTAGATCAGAATGAAAAGGCTCACTAAAGAAACCCTTTAATAAAAGAAATCAAATATTTAGATTTCTTCGTTCTACTTTATTTGTTTTTTCCTCAGAATCAAGTCTGTAACGTGGGTCATGTTTTTAGAAAAGCTTTCTGCAGTTAGCTCAGGTCATTAAATGGTTAAACAACAGTCCGCTTGTTTACAAAAACTAGGGTAGTTTTACTAATTTCATAGTTTACAAAAAAATGTGGAAAATAGTAAAAGCTGTAGATTTAAAAAAACAACAACATACATGTTCCTGAACATTTTCTATTTTAGGAATATTGTTCAGCGCTTGTTAACATGAAAAATAAAAATAAGATAATGTGCCGATCTTAATCAAAATCTTCTGATTCTTCATCTGAAGTCACGGGCCGCAAAAAATCCCCTCAAGGGCCGCAAATGGCCCTCGGGCCGCACTTTGGACACCCCTGCTCCATAACATGGTGAAACATTAAACAGCAGCTACCTGGTCATGGTCTGGATGCACTGGGACCTGTAGTTCTCGTAGTGACAGTCCCCGGTGATGTCCTTCAGGTCGTGCATGTGGGTTCTGATCAGCATGGTCCTCAGCTTCACAAAGTCGCAGTGCGACGGGTTCTCCACTGTTAAAAAAAACAAAAGGGCGAGACAAACATCAAAGCTGAGGCGCTCGCCGTTTATCAGCGTGGGGTTAAAAAAAGCAGCAGAGCGATGAGACAGAGGTTCCTACCCTCCACGATCCCCCACGGGTAGAGCCTCCCTCTCACTCGCTGACCTCGAGCCTCCACCACCGTGTTACTGCCGATCACAGCGAACGGCGTGCTCTCCTGCATCACAACACATCAGGAAGGGTTCAGATGAGGAAAAGGAGAAATCCAGCGACGTGACACATTTCCATCTTAGTCATGCATCGGCCATTTTGAAGCAGTTTTAAAGGTTAAAGAAAAACAAACATCTCTTCAATAAACGCCGCGTGATGACGGTGCTCACCTTCAGCTCTTTATCCTGACGCTTAAACTCCTCATCCTCATCAGAGTCACAGTCAGGGAACTGGTACACCTTTAACCCGTATTTATCAATCTCCTCCCTCAGCTGTGACACACACACACACACACACACACACACACACACACACACACACACACACACACAGACACACACACACACACACAGAGAGACACACACACACACACACACACACACACACACACACACACACACACACACAGACACACACACACACACACACACACACAGAGTAAGTGTTGATGTGTTTGTGAGAGTAACTCAGAGATAAATGAAACTCTGCGGCAGACACAGATGCTGAGCAGACTGACAGGTCTGTGCTTTCATTCAGTGTTTACTGCCCCCTGCTGTGCAAGAAGAGAACTACAACATTACCCTTAAAGGTGACATATCATCCCCCCCTCCACCTTTTCAAACAGTCCCCCTCCTCCACCTTTTCAAACAGTCCTCCTCCACCTTTTCAAACAGTCCTCCTCCTCCACCTTTTCAAACAGTCCCCTCTCCACCTTTTCAAACAGTCCTCCTCCACCTTTTCAAACAGTCCCCTCCTCCACCTTTTCAAACAGTCCCCTCCTCCACCTTTTCAAACAGTCCTCCTCCACCTTTTCAAACAGTCCTCCTCCTCCACCTTTTCAAACAGTCCTCCTCCACCTTTTCAAACAGTCCTCCTCCACCTTTTCAAACAGTCCTCCTCCTCCACCTTTTCAAACAGTCCTCCTCCACCTTTTCAAACAGTCCTCCTCCACCTTTTCAAACAGTCCTCCTCCACCTTTTCAAACAGTCCCTCCTCCACCTTTTCAAACAGTCCTCCTCCTCCACCTTTTCAAACAGTCCTCCTCCACCTTTTCAAACAGTCCTCCTCCACCTTTTCAAACAGTCCCCCCTCCACCTTTTCAAACAGTCCCCTCCTCCACCTTTTCAAACAGTCCTCCTCCACCTTTTCAAACAGTCCTCCTCCATCTTTCAAACAGTCCCCTCCTCCACCTTTTCAAACAGTCCTCCTCCACCTTTTCAAACAGTCCTCCTCCACCTTTTCAAACAGTCCCCTCCTCCACCTTTTCAAACAGTCCTCCTCCTCCACCTTTTTAAACAGTCCTCCTCCTCCACCTTTTCAAACAGTCCCCTTTCCACCTTTTCAAACAGTCCTCCTCCACCTTTTCAAACAGTCCCCTCCTCCACCTTTTCAAACAGTCCTCCTCCTCCACCTTTTCAAACAGTCCTCCTCCACCTTTTCAAACAGTCCTCCTCCACCTTTTCAAACAGTCCCCTCCTCCACCTTTTCAAACAGTCCTCCTCCTCCACCTTTTCAAACAGTCCTCCTCCTCCACCTTTTCAAACAGTCCACCTCCTCCACCTTTTCAAACAGTCCTCCTCCTCCACCTTTTCAAACAGTCCTCCTCCGCCTTTTCAAACAGTCCTCCTCCTCCACCTTTTCAAACAGTCCTCCTCCGCCTTTTCAAACAGTCCCCTCCTCCACCTTTTCAAACAGTCCTCCTCCACCTTTTCAAACAGTCCTCCTCCATCTTTTCAAACAGTCCTTCTCCACCTTTTCAAACAGTCCCCTCCTCCATCTTTTCAAACAGTCCTCCTCCACCTTTTCAAACAGTCCTCCTCCATCTTTTCAAACAGTCCTCCTCCACCTTTTCAAACAGTCCTCCTCCACCTTTTCAAACAGTCCTTCTCCACCTTTTCAAACAGTCCTCCTCCACCTTTTCAAACAGTCCTTCTCCACCTTTTCAAACAGTCCTCCTCCACCTTTTCAAACAGCCCCCTCCTCCATCTTTTCAAACAGTCCTCCTCCACCTTTTCAAACAGTCCTCCTCCACCTTTTCAAACAGTCCTTCTCCACCTTTTCAAACAGTCCTCCTCCACCTTTTCAAACAGTCCCCTCCTCCACCTTTTCAAACAGTCCTCCTCCACCTTTTTAAACAGTCCTCCTCCACCTTTTCAAACAGTCCCCTGTGGTCTAAATGAAACATCTGTTCTGTGCTTTGGTCAGAATATAACATGAATCAAGCACCAGAGGAGGTTTGTGACCCTGTATAAACCAGCTCTCTCAGAACGCTCCGTTTTGGTGTGTGTGTCTCTTTAAATGTAAAAGAGACACCCCCCCCCCGAGTTTTCCCCGTAGACATCACTCCTCTGTAGAGAATAAAAATGGCCGACCTGCTCAAAAGTTTTGCTCTAGGCTGGGGGTGGAGTCCATGGGTGGAGATATCAGGGGAGGGGAGGGGATTTTTATTTTTTTTACCAGAATCCCACTGTGACATCACAAGGAGAGCACATTTGAAACAGAGCATTTTTCTCTGTGTTGTAAGACTTCTGCAGACCACAAACAAAGGACTGGATGGTTTATTTCACATGTTGTGGGTCAGTAGACTCTCAGGTTACACACATATATGTTCAAAACACAAAGTGGATTTTTCATAATATGTCTCCTTTAAACTCAGCGGGGGGGGGGGGGGTCGTCTCGTCTGTTAGTCGGGGGTCGTCTCGTCTGTTAGTCGGGGGGTCGTCTCGTCTGTTAGTCGGGGGGTCGTCTCGTCTGTTAGTCGGGGGTCGTCTCGTCTGTTAGTCGGGGGTCGTCTCGCCTGTTAGTCGGGGGGTCACCTCGTCTGTTAGTCGGGGGTCACCTCGTCTGTTAGTCGGGGGGTCACCTCGTCTGTTAGTCGGGGGTCGTCTCGTCTGTTAGTCGGGGGTCACCTCGTCTGTTAGTCGGGGGGTCGTCTCGTCTGTTAGTCGGGGGGTCACCTCGTCTGTTAGTCGGGGGGGTCACCTCGTCTGTTAGTCGGGGGTCGTCTCGTCTGTTAGTCGGGGGGTCACCTCGTCTGTTAGTCGGGGGGTCGTCTCGTCTGTTAGTCGGGGGGTCACCTCGTCTGTTAGTCGGGGGTCGTCTCGTCTGTTAGTCGGGGGGTCGTCTCGTCTGTTAGTCGGGGGGTCGTCTCGTCTGTTAGTCGGGGGGGTCGTCTCGTCTGTTAGTCGGGGGGTCACTCGTCTGTTAGTCGGGGGTCGTCTCGTCTGTTAGTCGGGGGGTCGTCTCGTCTGTTAGTCGGGGGGTCGTCTCGTCTGTTAGTCGGGGGGGTCGTCTCGTCTGTTAGTCGGGGGTCGTCTCGTCTGTTAGTCGGGGGGTCGTCTCGTCTGTTAGTCGGGGGGGTCGTCTCGTCTGTTAGTCGGGGGTCACCTCGTCTGTTAGTCGGGGGGTCGTCTCGTCTGTTAGTCGGGGGGTCACCTCGTCTGTTAGTCGGGGGGTCGTCTCGTCTGTTAGTCGGGGGTCGTCTCGTCTGTTAGTCGGGGGGTCGTCTCGTCTGTTAGTCGGGGGTTCGTCTCGTCTGTTAGTCGGGGGGTCGTCTCGTCTGTTAGTCGGGGGGTCGTCTCGTCTGTTAGTCGGGGGGTCGTCTCGCCTGTTAGTCGGGGGGGTCACCTCGTCTGTTAGTCGGGGGGTCGTCTCGTCTGTTAGTCGGGGGGGTCATCTCGTCTGTTAGTCGGGGGGTCGACTCGTCTGTTAGTCGGGGGGTCGTCTCGTCTGTTAGTCGGGGGTCACCTCGTCTGTTAGTCGGGGGGTCGTCTCGTCTGTTAGTCGGGGGTCGTCTCGTCTGTTAGTCGGGGGGTGTCTCGTCTGTTAGTCGGGGGGGTCGTCTCGTCTGTTAGTCGGGGGGTCGTCTCGTCTGTTAGTCGGGGGGTCGCCTCGTCTGTTAGTCGGGGGTCGTCTCGTCTGTTAGTCGGGGGTCGTCTCGTCTGTTAGTCGGGGGTCACCTCGTCTGTTAGTCGGGGGGTCACCTCGTCTGTTAGTCGGGGGGTCGTCTCGTCTGTTAGTCGGGGGTCGTCTCGTCTGTTAGTCGGGGGTCGTCTCGTCTGTTAGTCGGGGGGGTCGTCTCGTCTGTTAGTCGGGGGGTCACCTCGTCTGTTAGTCGGGGGGTCGTCTCGTCTGTTAGTCGGGGGGTCGTCTCGTCTGTTAGTCGGGGGGTCGTCTCGTCTGTTAGTCGGGGGGTCGTCTCGTCTGTTAGTCGGGGGGTCACCTCGTCTGTTAGTCGGGGGGTCGTCTCGTCTGTTAGTCGGGGGGTCGTCTCGTCTGTTAGTCGGGGGGTCGTCTCGTCTGTTAGTCGGGGGGTCGTCTCGTCTGTTAGTCGGGGGGTCACCTCGTCTGTTAGTCGGGGGGGTCACCTCGTCTGTTAGTCGGGGGTCGTCTCGTCTGTTAGTCGGGGGTCGTCTCGTCTATTAGTCGGGGTCGTCTCGTCTATTAGTCGGGGGGTCGTCTCGTCTGTTAGTCGGGGGTCGTCTCGTCTGTTAGTCGGGGGGTCGTCTCGTCTGTTAGTCGGGGGGGTCGTCTCGTCTGTTAGTCGGGGGTCGTCTCGTCTGTTAGTCGGGGGGTCGTCTCGTCTGTTAGTCGGGGGGTCGTCTCGTCTGTTAGTCGGGGGGTTATGTTTGTCATCTACGTCGTGCTGCAGTGGTTTCCTGGTCTTACCCGCTCTTTGAGCTTCTTGATCTCGGTCGGAGTGAGGCAGTCGGCCTTCGAGATGAGAGGAACCACGTTCACTTTGTCCTGCAGCACCTTCATGAACTCGATGTCGACGGGGCGGAGCCTGCAGGAGGACACCATCTTTAACTGAGGCTCTGAACTCATGCACTGTTAAAGAACAACGGGCTCTAATGTGACAGGGTTTGTTGTTTTTACCCGTGTCCAAACGGAGGGATGAAGTAGAGGCAGCAGTGCACTCTGTTGTCCTGGATGTTCTTTCTGTTCAGCCCGCTCTCGTCTCTGAAGTATTGTTCAAACTGCTGGTTGATGTAGTCTGTGACGGCACGCCAGCTGCAGAGAAACAAGCGTGATCATAATTCAAACTATTACAAACATTAAAGGCTTTATATCCTCCTCCTCCTCTTCAGTGTAAATAAGTCTCAGAGCTCCTCAAAACATGTGTGAAGTTTCTTGTTCTAAATCCACTCTGATCCTGTATCTGATCATGTCTATAAACAGGATGAAGATCTTTGAAAAGGAAACTGCTTCCCACAGAGGAAACATGGACGCCCAGCGGTTACAGATCAATACATGGGGTGCAGAGAGAGAGAGAGAGAGAGAGAGAGAGATGATTGAAGGGGCGAGCAAATCAAATCAATACTGCAGCTTTAAACAACAACAACAACAAATAAAAAGATCATAACGAACAAAGATTTAATGGATGGTTTGTAAGTGACCAGATTCATTAGACAGAGATGTTAGCTCAGAGCTAACGCTAGCTAGCTACATGGAAGCTGTCAAAATAAACAAAAACAAAACAAACAACGAGAGTAGAAGGTGTCAGGGATGAGCGGGAACAATCTCTCTGTTTTGTGAATGACTTTGCACTGGTTTTCATGGGGGGAATATAGAATCAGGTTAAAGGGATACTTCACCCGTTAGCATTAATCTTTGTCTCATTAGAAACCTGGTCGTGTTTCTGAATGGTCGTGCATCCCGCCCTCATTTTCCCCTGAGATGTGAAATATTTCTATTTCTGAGTCTGAAAAGGAGCTTCCAGTGAAGCTGTTGTGGTTAGCGGGGTGAAACTACAACGCTAGTTCCTCATATTTTCGACCACTGAAGCTACAGACCAATCACAGATCAGTGGGTGGGAACTCACTCCCAGAATCAAAACTTAACGTCCGCCATATTGCTTGGAAGCTAAGCTAACAGGCTCTATGGAGAGAGCTGATAATGGAGAAAAAATATAAATATAGCCGTGAGACGGTTACTGCTGACAGGCCGGTCTTGTGTCTTGACTGCTGGGGCCGCCACTGGCCGCTAGCCGCCGCCCGCCGCAGTGTATGTCAACCATCGAATTTCCCTCTGGGATTAATAAAGTATTTCAGATTCTGAACTAGAGGACTTCAGTGGGAGTGGCCTGCAGTGCTGTGCATTCTGGGATTTGGTGTCTTTCATCCACATGAGCCAAAAAGACACTTTCTGTCTTTTCTCGGCCAAGAAGGCTCCAACTTCAAAATGTATTTCACATTTCTACATATATGACCCAAAGTCAACACAGAGTCATGTTTCATGGTGAAGTATCCCTTTAAGTTCTGTTTTATTCTGTTTTGTCCAATAGTCACACACACACACACACACACACACACACACACACACACACACACACACACACACACACACACACACTCGTATAAACGAAACACTCACCACTCGTTGTTGTTCACAGCGTCTCCAAAACCCGGCGTGTCCAGGATGGTGAGTTTCAGCTTCACGCCCTTCTCCTCGATGTCCACCGTGTGCTTCGTGATCTCCACCGTCTGACTGATCCGCTCTTTAGGACAGAAAATAGATAAATCAGGGCCGTGTGTGAGCCAGGTGCTTCAGAGGGTGCTACCTCAGGTACAGAACGGAGGGATGTGATTGGTCGATGACTCACCCTCTGCATTGAGCAGCTTCCTGTCTTTGTGCAGGTCAGTGAGGAACAGGCTGTTCACCAGAGTGGATTTACCCAGACCGGACTCCCCTGAAACACACACACACACACACACACACACACACACACACACAGACACACACACACACACACAGACACACACACACACACACACACACACACACACACACACACACACACACACACGCACACACACACGCACACACACACACACACACACACACACACACACACACACAGACACACAGACACACACACACACACACACACACACACACACACACACACACACACACACACACACAGACACACACACACACACACACAGACACACACACACACACACACACACAGACACACACACACACACACACAGAGACACACACACACACACACACAGTTTCAGATTAGCTCGTTCAGATCTTTACAGACGTTCTGTGTTTCAGAGTTTGAGGGTCTGTGGACTTTTAGGAGACACAAACTGTTTTCACACATTCTCTAAACTCCTGAAACATCCTGAAGTGCTCTATAAATAAAGGTTATTATATTATTAAGTGTTCACTGTGGACACAGATGCATGAAGCCGAGCTGATGTGAGAAGGCAGCAGGAAATATTCAAGAACAACAACATGTTAAATCTGATATCCTCACAGTTTGCTCTTATTGGACATACAGCTCATAAAGTGCAGTTTGTCCCTCAGTGTTCTTCAAGCAGCTGCAGGGTCGTTCTTTTGATGACTCTGACATTTAAGTAAATGTATTCGGAGCATCATTAAACCCACTTTTTATGGAGCACAGCTTTTAGGATTCATATTAAAATCGTCCAAATGTTCACAGAACAAACTGAACCTGTGAAATCTGAGAGGGTGCGGAGGTGTGGTGGTGATTTTCTGCCTTTTGAAGAATCACAATGACTTTGAGTCCTTTTTTATGCAGAACGAGGCTCGACAGTCGCCTCACATCGCCTTTTGTTGCACTTGAACACACCACAAAGACTCCAGCCAACGGCCAACCACCACGTACATTCAGCTCATGCGTGAGAGGAAATAACTCTCCATGCTAGTGGGGGGCGGTAGTCTGTAATCGTCATTCCAAAAAGGGGAAACCAGGAAGAGGACGAGGAAGAACGCGGACATGAACATTGCACAAAAAGTAAGGACATTTGTGTTTGGTAGATTATATCTTTGTTGCTTCTTGGCAATAAATCTTATACCGTTTAAGTGTGTAAGGAACATGCATTTGTGGGAAGAGCAGCAGAGCTGAGTATGTGGGTTGCGCTCATGAAAAACTTTCCAAATCTTCTCTGCCAATGCCAAACAGTGAAGTGGGCGTCCCAAGAAGACGACACCCCAAGAAGACCGTTTCCTAACCCCGTCAGCACTTAGGAACCGAAGGCAGTCTTCTACAGATCTGCAGTCAAGGTTTGCAGGACGATAAGCCCGACGGCTCTCTACTCAGACCATCCGGATCAGACTGCACGCAGCCAATCTCCGGTCTCATAGGGCTAACCGTTGTTAAGATGCAAGAAGACCATTTTCACACCGCTGTCGCTCACCACTCGTATTATAGACACTTCTAATCGAGAATAATGAAGTTGAGGTCGTTAACTTGCTTTTGTCACTTCCGTTTTTCTTCTAGCGCACTGATTCGCTTAGCTGAACAGCCAATCAGAGCGATTCCTCTCACCAAAAAAAAGGCACACTGGGTCAACGTGTGCCAGCTGGACGCACTGCAAAAACTAGGATGACAATCTCAGGATCTTAACCCTGACAGTCCTGATACAAAACCTTTAACTCCTTCTGATTCTGTTTGAGTAACAGCTGGTAAACGGGACGGTCCCAGCCCGTTCGGGACGGTAATAATACATAATAACAATATAATCCATGTGACATTCATCAAACCTGTGAAATGAGTTGAAATGAGACGTTGTCAGCGTGGACTTTAAAGCGACCTCATGACTTCTTACCTGCCACCATGAGGGTGAAGTCGAATCCTTTTTTCACCGACTTCCTGTGCACCTGGTTGGGCAGCGTTGCAAAGCCGACATAATCTTTTTCCTACAAACAATCAAACACACAAAGAAGAAAAATTAAAGACATCAACAGAGGATTCGATTTTCTGATCAGACGTTATTTCATATCTACAGAGACTGCGTGTCGATGGCAGAGCGTACAGCAAACGGTGAAATGGACTCGAGCTTGTGTATTTGTTTTCCAGTCTTCTGACCAGAGGAGCTGCGTGTCAACAGGCAAGGCAGGCAACTGGGGCCCCAGACCAGTAGGGGGCCCCAGAGGGCTTACAAACTTAAGCGGCTCAAAATGTGCAAATTTTGCAAAGACAGTAGGAAACCTCCCTAAGGGGGCCCCATCTGACAGCACTCACTCTATTGCTGTGAAAACCAAAGTTTTTCATTGAAAGTCCTTGAAGAAAAATGAAGAGGAATTAGCCTTCTATGAGTTCATACTTTAAACAGCAGCCTCTATCATCAGTTTGTTACGTTTCCTCTCATCGTTCTTCCTCTTTGCTGATTATATGGTGCACACAGCAAAGCAGGAGCCTCATTGGTCCACACAGCTGTCAATCATGACGTTATACTTTTTTATATATCACCAAATAACAATCAGACATAAATCAGCATGATCAGCAAATATCTTTAAAGACAGACACATGTGAGAGATAGTTTTGATTTTAAAGTTTGCCAAATGTCCCATCTGTTAACATAGAGGAGGCGGAGCTTATGACATGTACTGCAGCCAGTCAGCAGGGGGCGCTCTAAATGTTTTGGTTTGACTTTAGTCATGTCGTGCATCTCTTTGTTCAGTCCACGCTGACTCAGGAGTAATCATCTGTACACATAAAAAAAAAGTCACATATAGGTCGCACTCCGGGTAAATCATCACAAAGGCCGGAGAGCCGCCTTCTGGGTCAGACCCCCCTCACAGCTCTCAGGCCTGGATGAGTAGATGTGTTAGTAGGACATTCCCATGAGTCCTTTCATATTTTATTGAAGTGGCGATGGGGGGGGGGGGGGGGACCGTGAACATGCCCTGAGGTTCTCCATGTATTCCTAATGCAGTGTGGCAGGCGGATGAGGGGGGGCCATGTGTACGTCTGAACACATAGAAAGAGGAGGAATAGAAGCTACAGAAGACAAACGGTGCACGAGATGAAGAAAGTGCAAGTTTGATTCTCTTCACGAGGCCGCTGCAGCCGTTTAAATCACACGAGCAGGTATCCGTGCACGCAGGTGTGGAGGAGTTGTTTTTTTTTTAGGTAATGCTTCCACATTGACGTTTTGTCTGTGGATGTGTGAGTGAGTCACTCCCACACACAGACATCAGACTGCTGCGTCTGTGTCCGCTGCTCTGACTCAGACTCAGCGCTGCCGTCCAAATACTCGTGGAAAAAAAAAAACAAGCGAGCGAGCTGTGAAGCAGCATGAAGGCAAAAAAAAAGTCATGAAGCAGCTCGTGGGATTGGAGGGATGTAGATCTGAAAATAAAGATGCTGGGTGCAGCGTGAGGGCGGAGAGGAGATGCTGCATGTAGGCCACACCGGGACAAACGCGCTCTGTGCTGCAGGACTCAGGATACTACAGCCCATCTTTTTTTCCACTCCTGCTTTTAGTGAATGATAAGCGCTGAATATTTGCTCTTTTTCTGACCTTAAGCATCTTTAAAGACGTTCACACATATCACCATGAAGCGATTAGTTTAGGACAGAAAATTCATCCTGCAGCTTTTAAACTGCAAATATTCCTCTGATTGCAGCGTCTCTTATGAGATACGTTTATCTCTCATCACTGTAAACTCGATTTCAAAAAAAGGAAAAACGACGTGTGAAGACGTCACATCTTTTAGTTTGAAGCGTTAACGTCAGAAAAAAATTTCAGCGTCACTTTAAACGTTTTCTCCGCCGCACGTCTTGATATCTTTGAGACCTTTGGGACGTGAGGGAGCGTTGGTACTCCAGAGTTTCTACAAAGACTTTACAGACGGGATAGTTTCATTCTGGCAACTTTAAAATCATTAAATTCACACGTCAATACATTTCAATTTCCTTTTTTTTTTTTACACTGTTGATGAATCCTGCAGAGCTGCTTTTACAGTAAAGGAACATTTTCACAATTTATCCATCATTTTGTCTATAAAACATCACAAAACAGCGATTTAAAGGCAGGGTTGATCATTTTCTAAAACCAGCATGATTCTGAAAGTAGCATTCCCTCAGTGCTCCGTCTGCTCCCCCTCCCCTCTGTGCTCCCTCTTAAGCCACGCCCCCTCCCTTACATCCAGAAGTGGACCTCAGCTCATCTCTGTCATTGTGTAGAAACTACGTCGTCTCATGTCTCATTCAGCGGTCAGTAAACTCACAGTTTAAACTCCTAAAGTCATCGGTGACGCTTTGAGTGTGAGCTAGAGCACGCAAGAGGTAGAGGGCGAGCAGGGAGACAGGGAGGCGTCTGATTGGTTCATCAGATTGGTACCTCGTGGCAGACATTGGTCAAAGTTTTTACAGACTTACAAACTGATACAGATGATGGATTTACTTTGATCCTTTTCAGAGAACATGAGTTATTCATTTCTGTCAGGACCTAAAGACAATTTACACCAGAATCTTAAAAAGTGGAGGAAATTTTCACATTTCACAGTTAAGCAGGAAAGGTTGGACATATTCAGATTCAGGACGACTGAAAGCTTTCATTTGCAGATGTGGACAGATGTTTAAAACGAAAGGAAACGCGAAATAAATTAAAATCTGAAATAATGTGAATATATTGACGAGCTCACTGACAGTAAAGAGGAGAAAAGGAGGGCAGAGACACCAAAACAAAGGAATAATGTCGGAGTAATCCTCTCTCTCACACACACACACACACACACACACACACACACACACACACACACACACACACACTTTGTCTGCTGCGCGTGCCTTACCTCTGCATCCTCTGTGTCATGAAGTCAGATTCCAGCAGACATCGGTCCGTTCGTGGAGACGCATCATCATCACAGACATTCAGAGAGACACCAGCAGAAGCATCACGTGGATTAATCGATACTTGATTTTATTTTTTTATAAAGGGCATTTACGTCGCGCGGTGGGTAATGAATCACCTGCACGAGCTTACCTGAGCGGGGCGCGCGGCTCCTGTACCTGCTGTTGGCCGTCATCTCTGCACACAGTTGGTGGGAAATGCGTCCGAACCGGGATGAAAGGGGCGGGGTCTCCAGCCGCTCCAATTTACGCTGCACAATATCAAATAATAATAATTCACCGCTACGGCAACAGAGAGGGTCCAAACAGAGCGCCAACGTGCCGAGGATGTTTTTAGACGTGGTCGCCGTTTCCTTCACATCCAAACACGTCTTCATGCATGCACCCTGATCCACTCTTTATTGTGTCAGAGCATTTATTGAGTCATTGTGGGGGAAAAAACAACTGCATGCAGTACCCGGATGTGACGGGAGGTGGCAGTATTACCCTGTTTTTGCACTGGTCAAAGAACAGAGATAAAGCACAAAACTGTTCTATACATTTATTTTGTCTTTAACACCCCCCCCTCCCCCCCGACATCTCTCCATGAGTGAGAGATGTCGGGGGGGGGGTCTTCTTCTTCTTTAGCTTGTGTTAATAATGTGAACTCTGTTTCTTTACTTTTAATCATGGATTCATGTTTACTTTTTAATTTTTTATTAGTGATGTGTGATGATTCATTTTTAGGGGGCAGCAGTAGCTCAGTCTGTAGGGACTTAGGTTGGGAAGTGGAGGGTTCCAGGTCACTTCCTGAGTAATGCCGAGGTGTCCTTGAGCAAGGCACCAAATAAGTGTCAGAGCTTCTCAAAACATGTTTGTGAAGTTTCTTGTTCTAAATCCACTCTGATCCTGTATTTGATCATGTCTATAAACCCCTCTATTTCAGCCCTGCTCAGAACAGGCTCTTCTGTGTCTGTACCTTTAAATATGTAAATGAGCTGTGTCTGACCACGCCCCCTCTCTGGAAGGGCTCAGGTGTCTCGGTCTTTCTCGCTCCATGTCATATTGTTTACGGTGAGAAGGCAGACTCAGAGGGCAGAACAAACACCTAGCTGTGGGAGTGTCACCCACCTGGGGGAGGGGCTACCGCCCTTTGTGATGTCATGAAGGGAACATCTCCAAATGGCCTGTTTGAGCACACATTTTCTGAAAAGTGGAGCAGGCAGAAGACGGAGAGGATGGACTTTTCTCATCACTGGGGGGTTTGTAGACAGATTAGAGACACGTTTAGTATGAAATAATGAATTAGAACGTAAAAAACGATGACGTTTGGTTGTTTAGTTTTTGTAATATTAATGTTCTGTGTTTTATTATTGCATCGTATGAACAGTAATGGCGTGCAGAAACAATAAATATAAAATAATAACCTTTTCTGGTGTTCTGGTGTGATCTGTGGAATCACGTTCGACTTGTCTTTTCTGTTTCTGTAAACGTTTAACATGAATATAACCGAGTGTTCATAACTCATTCCTCTGCACTCTGTAGAGTTCACAACATTCAACAACAGCAGGATTTAAATATAGACGTTGTTTATTGTTCTATATTTCATATTTATTTATGCTGGACGTAACTAAATCTCTGGATGTTTTGTTTGTTTCCTTCTTTTGTTCACTTTGTTTCTACCTGAAGATTTTTTTTTATCTTCCTGTGAATTATTTTTCTCTGTGTGTGAGCGTCCACAGCGACCAAGTCAGAATCTTTAAACCGGAGAATTAAACTCAGGCTTCACATGGACGACTTCAGGCCCAAATGTGGGCTTCGATTGGCCCTCCCCAACGGAAGGGGGCGTGGCCTAGCGTTGAAAGCTAACAATGATAGATCTGGGGGCACCAGAGGCCTAGTGTTTGGTCCTCGGGTGGCCAGTTTGAATCCGACCTGTGGCTCCTTTCCCACTTGTAGTCCCCCCCCCC